TCAGGACTTTCTATGGCACTGAAAGATATCAGATCACACGCAAGACAAAGAAATTCAACCCCAGGACGCACAAAAGGAAGCAAGATAAGTGAGTAGAGGTGATGACAGAGTTCCCAGGAAAGGCATCCTGGGAGAGCTGATGTTTCAACAGACTCATGTGCAAAGTGGGGGTGTGGGTTCCAGACAGGGAAATCAGTGCAAGCACGCTGGGACAGGCAAGCTTGGATATCCCAAGTCCGGCAAGGAAGACGGTGGAGTTGTAGGTGTGTCAACGGGAAAGCAAGCGGAAGATGTCTTGTCAGATGCCAGGTCACGCTGAATTTCTAGAGGCCACATTTTGTTGTTGCTGTTTGAAATAGGTTTCCTTATAACCTGGGTTGGCTTAGAACTCACTCTATAGCTGCCTGGTCTCCATCTTAGGATTCTCTTACCTTAGCCTTCTGATTGCTGAGAATACAGTCTTGGACCATCACACCGAGCTGGGGCCATATTTAACTGAACTAAAACACTCTCTCACACACACATGCTTTCTTGAGATGGAAGGAAATACCTCATAAAAAGAAATCCTTCTTGTCTAAGTTGGGGTTAGAATCATTGCATGAACTCTCTGCTGAGTATTGGATGACCTGAATTCAGTTGTCTGTGTGGGGTTAACCAATACGCTTATATGTACAACCAGAGGCTGTGTCCTGGCTAGTTGTGTTTGTCAAGTTGACACAAGCTAGGGTTATTTGGAATAGACGCCTCAGGTGAGGAAAATTTCTCCATCCAGATTGCCTGCATAGGCATGTATGTAGGGTACAGGTCACTTTGACTGTCCCCATTCCTGGGCAGGGGGTCCCAAGTTGCATAAGAAAGCAGGTTGAATAAGTCATGGAGAGCAAGCCAGTAAGCAGCACCCCTCCATGGCCTCTGCATCAGCTCCCACCTCCTGCCTGTGTGAGTCCCTGTCCTGACTGCCTTTGCTGATGAAGAGTGGTATGGAAGTGTAAGCCAAATAAATGCTTTCCTTCCCCAACTTGCTTTAGTTATGGTGTTTCAGCACAGCCACAGAAACCCCAACTAAAACACAGTCCAATGTGGGGAGGAACAACTAAAGGCCCAAAGAAATGAGACTAGCTTCAAAGATTCAGACAAAATGAATAATGGTAAAGCTGTTACTGCAGGGATTAAATAGAAAAGAAATTTACAAAAATTAGTGTTCTAAAGCTAAAAAGACATTACAATGGTTTTGATAATTTTTTTTTTAAATTTAGATTAAAATGTAGAAGCAGGGGTAGAACCCGCAGCAAGGGCAGTAGAGCAGAGCATGCCATTTAGACACTGAAGTTAATGCCACAAAAGGCAAACCCAGAATCCACAGAGTAAAGTGGGGAAGAGAGATTCAGTTGAAAACTATACATTACTGGGCAAGGTGATTGAAGGCTATAGATTTATGAGAAAGAGTCTGGAATAACTGGAACAACAACAAGTTTGTATTTTAAAAATTTATTTTTGTGTTTAACGCGCGCGCGCGTGTGTGTGTGTGTGTGTGTGTGTGTGTGTGTGTGGCCAGAAGAGGGCACTGGATCATCTGGAGCGGGAGTTACAAGTGGTTGAATGATGTGGGATTCCCCTCTGTATGCCATGAATATGTTTTGTTACCACTGGTTATTAAAGAAGCTGTTTCAGCCAGTGATTTAATAAAGTCAGGCAGAAATCTGAACAGCGATATAGAGAGAAAGTAGGCGGAGTCAAAGAGACACCATATAGCTGCCAAAGGAGACAGGCACCAGATCCTTACCAGTAAGTCACAGCCTTGTGTATGCCGATACATAGATGAATAGAAATGGGTTAATTCAAGACGTAAGAGCTAGCTAGAAGTATGCCTGAATCATTGGCCGAACAGTGTTGTAATTAATACGGTTTCTGTGTGGTTTATTCGGGTCTGAGCAGCCGGGAAACAAATGAGCAGTCTCTGTCTCCAGTTGTGAGCCACCTGCCATGGGTGCTGGAAACCAAACTCTGGTTTTCTGCAGGAAGAGTAAGTGTTCTTCACTGCGAAGCTCTCTCTCCAGCCTCTGACATTTACACCTAAAAAAACCCACAGTTATTTGCACTGGAGGGATCACTTTGATAGTAATGGAGAACACGCCACTCTGGAGACTGATGGAAGGTTGGGAGTACAAGCATTGACCCTACCCTCCAGCCAGAAGACCAGCCATTTATGAGGAAACAAAGATCGGATTGACCCCAGCTCTCCACTAAGAAATGTCAGAAGAAGATGGACGATTCTTGCAAAGTTTTGAAGAGAGAGATGGTGTGAGGAGAACAAACAACGACCTCTGTGTCCAAAGGCCAGAAACAGTCCACTCACACACTCTTCTTGAAGATAGTGTTTGAAGCCTTGTATCGGGACACCCAAGATGTGTGAAAGGGCAGAGTGCAGCTTATACACAGCTCACAGCGCTGTATACATGTTATGAGCAAGGGGAGGTAATGAGGGAAAATGCATCTATATAAAAGTAGACCTGCTATACTATAGCTTTTACCACTCCATTATCACTAAACTGGGAAGCAAGTAAACATTTACCCAGGGTCAGCACTTAACCATGCCAAGGGCTTTATTCCTGTGTCATTTCATTTAACCCTCTACAATCGTGAGATAAGAATCATTATCTCCTAGAGGCCAGGAATATGGGTCAGCAAGTAAAGGCTCTTGCTACCAAGCTTAATGATCAGAGTTCAATTCCTGGAGCCCATGTGGTAGAAGAAGAGAACCAAACAGGTTGTCCTCTGACCTCCACATGTATGCTGTGGCATGTGCAGGACCTCACACACACACACACACACACACACACACACACACACACACACACACGCACACGTGCATGCGCACACACACAAATACATGCACACACATGCATGCACGTGCACACACGCACTCACACACACTAAGTAGATATAAAAATAAAAATATTGCTAATCATTTTGAATAAAGGAACTAAGACATAGAAGTAGGGTCTTGCCCAAGGAATGGCTAAGCAGTTTCTGAGTTTGTGAATGTACTCTGCCTCCACGTGACACATTGCTCACAGGCAGTCAGAAGTCCTGTACTTAACCCTAGGTGTCAAAGAGAGGTGTTTCACTTAAATACCTTGTCTCATATTTAGCATTTTCAGAAACAGATTCATTTCCTAGTAAGATTTCTGTCCGTGCTGCATTTACAGTGTGAGATGCACACATGATAATTAGAGGTACATCTCACACGGATGGGACACAGTTCCCACATCTCCTACACGACTGGTTGCTTGGCTTTAGCTTGTGTTTCCTCTGCAAATGATATCTACATGATACATATTGATTAAAAAACAATCTGGTAATGCTTTCTTCTCAGTGGGCTGGGCTGAAGGTTATTTGTTGATTGCTTCCTACAGATCAACTGGAAAGCCATAAAGATGTATGGAAATGAGCCAGGGCAGTCTGAAGCTGTGAGAAGGTTGGAGGGGATTTTATAGAAGGAAGCCCAGAGAATCTTATTATTTCATAAATGTGTCACGTGTTGGCAGTAATGTTTCAAAGTAAGATACTTAGAACATGTCTTGAGTGGTATTAGAAATGATCTTTACAGAGTCTAGAGAGATGAGTCATTGGTTAAGAGCACTGGCTGCTCTTCCAGAGGACCTGGAACGGATTCTCAGCACCCATCTGGTGGCTCGATACTGTAGTTCCAAGGAATCTGTCGCCCCCTTCTGGCCTTCACTGGCACTGCATGCACATGATTCAAACACACACAGGATGGCAAGACACCCATAGGCATAAAATAAAAATGAATAAGTTTAAAAAAAAAAGCACTAAAGATATTTTAAGTGGAACCATTTAAGTGTAACATTTGCGTCTACCTTTACCATATGAGTTGGGTTAGGAGTCTTCATCGCCACCATTCCCTCGGGCAAGCGACTCGCCAGCTCTCCTACCCTTTCCTCTTCTCCTTTTCTGTCTCTTCCTCCCCCTTCACCATCACCTTCCTCCTTCCTCTCTCAGCAGGGTCTCAAGTAGTGCTTGCTGAACTTCTGAGGATGACCTTGAACTTCTGGTCTTCCTGCTTCCACCTGCCAAGTGTTAGAACTACAGGCGTGTGCCTCCAAGACTGTGGACATCACCTTCCGGAAGCAGTTTCCCTTCTTAGAAAAACGGAGACAATTCCTATCAGAAGAATAATTGTAAGAATCACACTCGCTACTGCAGAAGGCACCAATCATCTGTTTTTGTTTTTGTTTTGGTTTTGGTTTGTTTTTTTTTTTTAAAATCCCAAGTCCCGCTAGACCGAGGATAGCAGCTGTGACTACAGCAGGCTGTCGCAGGGATCAGACAGACCATAAGGGATCAGAAGTGGTTGTCCAAGATCTCCTGAGTAAACTGGGAGCATGGGGACCTTGGGAGAGGGTTAAAGGGGAGGGGAGAGGCAGAGAAAGGAGCAGAGAAAAATGTAGAGCGCAATAAAAATGAATTGAGGAAGAAAGAAAGAAAAAAGAAAGAAAGAAAGAAAGAAAAGAAAAGAAAAGAAAAGAAAAGAAAAGAAAAGAAAAGAAAAGAA